GTGCAGCAGGGGGGCGGGCGGGCCCGTGGAGGACTTCGTGTCCCTGGCCATGGTCGGCGGCCACCTGGAGTTTCGCTACGAGCTGGGGTCGGGTAAGCGTCGGGCACCAAGGCAGACGGGCCTCGTGATGCCAAGCTCTGTGCCCTCCTTGGTCCCTGGGACCCAGGGAGGCTTGGAGGCATAAGTTCGGGGGCAGACCCTCGGGAGGGCCCTGTTCCCACACAGCTCTCTGTGTTGGCTTCAGGCAGCTTCCTAGACCTCCCTGAGCCTCGGGCTCCCTGCGGAGCCCCCGTTGCTCCCAGCCCCGCATGTGCTGGGGCGGGTGGGGAGCCCTGCACCAACCCGTCCGGCATCCTTCCCAGGGCTGGCCGTCCTGCGGAGTGCTGAGCCACTGGCCCTGGGCCGCTGGCACCGCGTGTCGGCAGAGCGCCTCAACAAGGACGGCAGCCTGCGGGTGAACGGCGGCCGCCCCGTGCTGCGCTCCTCGCCCGGCAAGAGCCAGGGCCTCAACTTGCAGACTCTGCTCTACCTGGGCGGCGTGGAGCCCTCCCTGCGGCTGTCTCCGGCCACCAACGTCAGCACCCACTTCCGCGGCTGTGTGGGCGAGGTGAGAGGACAAGCGGGAGCGGAGGGCACGCGCTGGGCCCTCCACCAGCAGCTCCCCGGGGCCTGGGAGCAGACACTGCGCCTCTGTAAGGTGGGGTAATAGCACCCGCTCCTACCAGGAGGCTCCTACCAGGAGCGGCCCACTCGGGCGGTGGGCGTGGTATGCACAGGTGTCCAGCTTCCTGCCTCGCTCCCTGCCTTAGACTCCTGTGTCACCACCCCAGCCCCAGCACGAGCCCCAGTGTCCTCTGTACACCTGAGCCCCTGCCTCCCGCTCCCCTTCAGTCCCTCGGTGCCCCTCTCCCCACAGGTGTCAGTGAATGGCAAGCGGCTGGACCTCACCTACAGCTTCCTTGGCAGCCGGGGCATCGGGCAGTGCTACGACAGCTCCCCGTGTGAGCGCCAGCCCTGCCAGCACGGCGCCACGTGCATGCCCGCCGGCGAGTATGAGTTCCAGTGCCTGTGTGGGGACGGCTTCAAAGGTGGGAGAGGCCGCCCCGGGCGCTAGGGAGAGGGGCACCTCCTGCCTGCGCCCACCCGCCCACTCGCCTCTGCCCTGGCCCTCAGGAGACCTCTGCGAGCTCGAGGAGAACCCCTGCCAACTGCGTGAGCCCTGTCTGCATGGGGGCACCTGCCAGGGCACACACTGCCTCTGCCTCCCTGGCTTCTCTGGCCCACGCTGCCAGCAAGGTAGCCAGTCTGGCTTCTCTCCACCTCCTCCTTGGGACCCTGGGGCTGGACACAGCACCCACGGGTGTCTGTGCCCACCAACTGGACCCCACCTTTCCCTAGGCCCTGGACACAGCCCAGCAGAGGCCGACTGGCTTCTTGAAGGCAGTGGGGGCAACGGTACGTACACGCCATGGCCAGCCGGGGTCCGGTGGGCCTGTCTGCCCTGGCTTCAGCTCTCAGCCCCCTCCCCCTGAGTCCATGCCCTCAGCTCTGGCCTCCAGTGAGGGGCTTGCCAGGCACAGATGGGAACGTAACCAAGGACACACCACCTGAGTGGGCCCCCATACTTCCAGGCTAGGGGACCTGGCAGGCCTTCGAACTGTGCTGTCCCCTCTGTCTCACATCAGTTAGCGAGCAGCTATTGTCTGCCTGTCCCTGCACTGACCGTAACGTGGCTGCGCACACATGACTATCTGTAACTGGTGACGCGCTAAGCAAGCTCTAGTGACAAAGGCATGGGTCCTGCCACCACGGTCCACTGCCTGCACCCGCAATTGCGGGAACGGCCAGATTTCGGCGCAAAGCGAGTGGAAATAGAGAGGTGCTGTTTTCCCCTCCAGTTCCCTGGCCCCTACCTCCCATTGACAGCACCCTTGGGTACGCAGAGGCTGCACATTCAGCGCCCCAGTGGTCATGTGTGTCGGGGGGGAGGGGAGTCGGGGAGCAGATGCAGACCCTGGCCTGATGCGGGTGAGCAGGTGTCTCACCGACTGCCCTTGGTTTCCCAGCAGATGCCCCTGGGCAATATGGAGCCTATTTCCACGACAATGGCTTCCTAGCCCTCCCCAGTGGCATCTTCTCCAGGAGGTAAGGCCGGGAGAGCCTGTGGGCCGGGAGGACGGAAGCTGGGCCTCTGTCGCCTCACCTCTCCTTCCTGCAGCCTGCCCGAGGTGCCCGAGATCATCGAGATGGAGGTCCGGACCAGCACAGCCAGCGGCCTTCTGCTCTGGCAGGGAGTGGTGAGTGTGGCTCTGGGCCGCCATCTTGGGGTTGCTGGGGCGGGAGACCGGCCTCCTGGTGGCCAGGGCAGTGAGGAGAGAAGAAGGTGAAGGCTCTAGCCCTTGGGAGCCTCAGCACTCCAGGCTGGGGACCCCAGAGGCTTGTGCTTCCCTGGCAGGAGGTGGGAGAGGCTGGCCAAGGCAAGGACTTCATCAGCCTGGGGCTTCAGGACGGGCACCCTGTCTTCAGGTGGGTCCTGGCCCAGACCCTGCCTTCCCTGGCTGCCCCTGCTCCCAATGGCTTCTCCACTTACGGGAGGCTGCAGCTCCTAGCACCCCGGCCACGTGCCACCACCCTGGCTCACGCTGTACCTATGTGACCACAGCTACCAGCTGGGCAGTGGAGAGGCCCGACTCGTCTCTGAGGACCCCATCAATGACGGCGAGTGGCATCGGGTGACAGTGCTGCGGTAAGGGGCCCAGGGTTTGGGAGTGGCAAGGGTTAGATCCATGGCAGGAAGACTGGCATTGCACTCTGGAAAGACAGAACCCACCTGCCAGAGCAAGACCCCCAGGCCAGACAGAGCCCTCAGGGGCTGGCGAGCACCCACAGGGAGAAGGAAACCTGGGTGGGGATTCCAGGAAGCAGACTTTGCGGGGCCGGTTCCCGCCTCATCCAGAGGGAAGAAAACTCAGCCAGGCAGATTCTCTGTCTGGAGTCAGTGCCACAGGGATGGGCCTCTGCCATGGGGCTGGGAGGACAGGGGCCCTCAGGGCAAGGTCCTGACTCAGCTCCACTGCAGAGAGGGCCGGAGAGGCTCCATCCAGGTGGACGGCGAGGAGATGGTCAGCGGCCAGTCTCCAGGCCCGCACGTGGCTGTCAACACCAAGGGCAGCGTCTACATTGGTAAGTGTGTTGGGCCCGCCTGGGGCAGGGGAGGAAGTGGCCTCCTGCCCCCAGACTTCGGAGCTGGCCAGCCCGCTCATCTCCCTCCCCCGTCCCCAGGCGGAGCCCCCGCCGTGGCCGCGCTGACCAGGGGCAGGTTCTCCTCGGGCATCACGGGCTGTATCAAGAACCTGGTGCTACACTCCGCCCGGCCTGGCGCCCCGCCCCCACAGCCCCTGGACCTGCAGCACCGTGCCCAGGCGGGTGCCAACACAAAACCCTGCCCCTCGTACACACCTGCCCCACACGGACTCTCGGGCAGCGCCCCAGCCAACAACGTCAAGTATATTATTATTAATATTATTATTACGAATTTTTTGTAAGAAACTGAGGCGATGCCACGCTTTGCTGCTACCACCCTGGGCTGGTCTGGAGTGGGCAGGCCAGCCCCCCACACACACCTGGGCAAAACCACAGGCTGGCAGGCAGGGCAGGCTGGATAGGAGTGGGTGCCTTGGAACCACCAGGACTTGGGGACAGGCACAGCAGCCGGGTGGGCCCACACTCCCCCACCCTCATGGAGCCCCCCGGGCTGCCCACTTCCACAGCCCTGGGACAGTCTTCATTTCTGTGAGAGCCAGCCTTGGCTTATAGCCTGGTGCCTTGCCAGCTTCCCAAAACGGAAGGACGTCGCACTAGCCTTTGCCACCCCCTCTAGGCCGGGACACTTTAGTATCAGCCATGGAGCAAAAGGCAGCTCACCCTGGCCGGACAGTCCCCCACCCCACCAGCCCCACCCCAGCCCCCCACCTCCTTATAGCCAGCTGGGCCACCTGTCCTGGCAGCCCCCACAAGCGCTCTTCCTGCTCCCCTATCCCCAGCACACAGCCCAGGGCACCTGCCCTCGGGGGCTGCAAGGGAAACCCCAGCCAACTCTTACCAGGAGCTGCCACCAGCAGAGCCCAGCACTGAGAGGGTCTCCCGCCCACACCAGGCCACGTCTCCCCACTCATCTGGAAGTGAAGGCCCAGGGACTGGTGGGGAGGCCGGCTGTGGTCAGGAAGAGTTAGTGCCTTGGGTGGGGGAAGCCGGACTTGTGACTGGGAGGGACAGGAAGGGGTGTGACAGCCCTGCCCCACTGTGGGAGCCTGAGGACCCAGCCCGGAGCAAGTGCCCTTCCACCAGCAGCCCCCAGACTGGGGGTTGGGCATCCGACCTGTGTCCTAGAAGGGACCCTCCTGTGGTCTTTTTCTTGAGTTTTCTTAATAAACGGTGCTATCCCCGCCAGGGGTCTTCTGTGTGTTTGACTAGGGCTTGACTCAGTGGCACGAGAGTGAGCTGGGCTGGGCTGGGGCAAAGCAGAGGTGCGATCTGGGAGTGCAGCCGGCAACCGTGGGCTAGCAAGGAGGCCCTCCCCCGTGAGGCGAAGTCATGCCCCATCTAGAGGAGCGGACGGAGTCTCAGAGGGTCAAGTGCCCTTCCCAAGGTCGACCAGCCACAGCCAGGGGATAGAACCCAGGTTCTGGGGGGCCTGCAGGTGGCATAGTGGTTAGGGTGCTGGACTCCCACCTGGCCAGAAACTTACCAGGCACGTGTGCATGCGTGCTCAAAATCTCAAGAGGAGAATGGAGAAGGGATTGCAACGTGGCCATCCCTCCTGAAGGGGTGATTTCTCGCTTTTTGTCTTTCTGTCTCTAGCAAGTGCACAAGCCCTATAGTAAAAATCTCTTCAAAAAAATAAGATAGCCCAGGCGCTCTCTGACCACAGAGCCCACTTTCCTCCCTCCGGCACCCACTGCGTCTCTAGGGATGGCCTCCGAGCTCCTGGACGGCCGGCTGACTGAGCTGCAGTCCGCCGGGGGCAACCTGGCCAGGACACGAGTAGCAGGTGGTGCAGGCTGAGGTGCAGCAGAGGCCGAGCCTGCGGGCACCCGTTTGCCAGGATAGCCGGCCAGAGGAGCAGCAGCACCAGAGCATCAGGAGGATGGCTATGGTGGGGAGCAGCGAGGAGGCCAGGGCCACCCCCCACGGCCAGGGGCCTGCAGGAGAAGAGAGTCTCAGGCCTCAGCCTGGGCTGCCACCCCACCCCCTTCACCTGGAGAAGGACAGCGTGACTTTAGTGGGCAGAAGGGGAGCAAGTCACGACCCAGGGCCACCCACCTGCCAAAGCCACATGCTGTTTTGCAGGGTCCTGGTCTGCCACGGGGCTCCTCTCAGCTGCAACCTGGAGGGGGCCTGCAGACCTGAGGGCTGCGGAGAGAGTCCAAGCCCTGGAGGGGTTGTCATCCGTACTCCCCATCTGGCTAGGTACTGGAGAGGGACCTGCAGTGGGAGAGAACATTGCACTAAGAATTGCCCTTCCCAGGGCGCGTCTGTGTCATTTTATCTTCACACACTCTCAGTTCATCTGTTACCGATAGTATTTCCGTTTTATAGATAAGGGAAGTGAGACATGACGAGGTTAAGTCACTGGCCAAGTCACACAGCTAGAAGTGACAAGGGGGTGACCTGAACTCATAATTTAGCTCCAAGGCCTGGAGTTTATAAATACAGTCACTTTTTTTTTTTTTTTTGAGAATTTTTTGCTGTAAGGGGCATGTGCTCACCAGAAGGCCAG